TTAAAAAAAAAACAGACTTTATGTGGACAAGACATTAGCCGTACCCGGTCACAGGGCTTCGGAGTCGCGCGCATCGGAGTTTTAAGTTTTAAGCCCCAATGGCCAATGTTATGGTGATCTGAAAATATGTACTTTCTGCCCTGCTCTTCCGCCTTCCAGTAAAATTGACAATTTTTAAGAAAACATAAAATTCAGGGTCTAGTGTTCATGTTCAGTTTTTGAAAACCTAAAATTCGATGCTTTTTATTTTGATGTTTTTAATTCCAAATTTTTTAGCACGAATACTTCTTTCTTGAGACAGAAAATGCAGACTTTCCCAAACTAACCTGTCCATCTAGTGGGATCTAGTGCTCATAAGTTCGTAGTAATAAACGATTTTATAAAAAAAAAACAAGTTAATTTAGTTTAGAGCATAGCAATAGTGTCCATTGAGCACGCTTTGTTTTTTGAATAAAAAGCTAATTTACAAGGACTAGATTATAGCACTAGACGGACTGGTTATTTTAATTTTGGGTTAGTCGGCGAGATCTTTCGTACGCCAATCGCGGACCTTTGAAAAATAAAGTAAAGGTCCACCACTTGCGGATTTATATAAAATATATTAGTTTCACTACTCGCGGATCTTATTTTATTTTTAAAATTGCATCCTGTATTCCTCATCATGGACGCCGCCAGCCAGCGGGACAGGGAGGGGGGCAAGGCACGGGGGGTCCTGTCTTCGTACATACATTACCGGTGTAAATTTTCGCAAGTGTGAAGGTCATTTTTATGTATACCAGGTGGGGCACGAAAAACTTTCCACCCAGGTTTTCTCAGGTATTAGGTGTTTAATCTAAAATCGCTCAGACACGTCAGTTTTTGTTTTTTGGGGGACACATTTTATTGGTATTTTCACCCCCTACCTGTGATCCCCTAAGTGGGGGTAACAGGTACCCCCAAAATTTCAAATGGAAAGAGGGTTCGAGTTATATGTCATTTGGTAGCTATTTTCATTGAGATTATATCCCCGTAGTTTCAAGTTGCTACTATTAACCCTGCCGAAATGGCGGCATGGCAAAGTTAGGATAAATGCTTTTTTTCGATTATACAACTCACTGTACATTATTCCCATATGACACGAGAGGATTAATAAGTGATAATCCTTCCCATATGACACGAGAGGCTTAATAAGTGATAATCCTTTTGCACGGTAACTGGTGTTTTGACATTTTTTGACAAAAAATTTAAATTTTTGATTCATGAAATTATTAATTGAAAAAGAATTAAAGTTTAGTTCGTTGTATAACCTTTTGAATACCACTCGATGTTTCAGGCTTACCTAATACTTTTACCTGACACTCAACGCGTTACCAGCAACACCACTCCTCCTTCGGAGTCGTGGTGTTGCTGCGTAACGCGTTTCGTGACAGGTAAAAGTATTATCCGGTAATCCTGAAACCTCTTGTGGTATTACATTCGATAATCTAAGCTGTATAGTTTTTACCTGTCACACCTATGCGTAGGTAACAGGTAAAAACCACATAGCATTTTTCCATTGATTTTTCCTAACTTTGACAAGCCGCCATTTCGACATGGTAAATAGTAGCAACTTGAAACTTCGGGGATATAATCCTAATGAAAATAGCTATCAAATGACGTATCACTCGACCCCCCTTTTCATTTGAAATTTTGTGGGTACCTATCACCCCCACTTAGGAGTTCACAGGTAGAGGGTGAAAATACCAATAAAATGTGTCCCCCAAAAAACAAAAATTGACGTGTCTGAGCGATTTTTGATTGAACACCTAACACCTGAGAAAACCTGGGTGGAAAGTTTTTCGTGCCCCACCCGGTATATAAAATGTATGCTCTTTTGTGGATTTCTATTGACTATGTTTAAGTGTTCTATATTTTATTAAAAAAAAAATTGAAAAAATTTTTGGATTAATTTTCTTTGCTATTCCATCCACAGACGCTTTTCGACCTATCAGGTCTCGTCAGTATGGCTAGGAAAGCAAAGAAAAGCAATCCAAATTTAGTGCCGTAGGCAAAATAGTGGATAATAGGAGAAAACTTGTTTTCCCTATCTGATTTTTGGTCGGCCTATTAGATGGACATCACTAAATACAGCAAAAGTGCTATTTAGTGTTGAATCCTAGTCTTAGATGGAGCCACAATCAAATTTCGCTCGTCGTACTATTTTATAATAAATAAATATATTTTGATTTTGCTGTATAATTCAACTTTCTGAATCCAGGGGGGGGCAAGTGCCCGATTTGCCCCCCCCCCCCTGCCGGCGCCCATGTTCCCCATCCCCATTCCTTTTATTTTCATAGATAGAAAAATCTCTCCTAGTAGAAAGGAAGATATAGATGAGTAACAATTTTTGAAGAAAATACCATTAATATCATAAGAATACAAGCAAAAAGTACAAAGTTAATGGTTATATATTTAATTTAGACTGCCAAGCCAACACCCAAATAACTTTTGTATTTGTATTATTATTTTTAAAAAGCTAAGATTAGGTACGATATCAAGCTTAAACATAAACAAATAATCAGCTAACAGCTGGTGGAACCCAACAAAAATGACAAACAAAGAAATGACAGAGGATGCGCGCGACTCCGAAGCCTGTGACCGTGGTACGGCTAATCTCTTGTAATTATGTGGCACCTTGTGCGTGGGATATCCATAAAGCGCAATTCATACTAAACGTACCGACGCGTCAAAATATTCTCCTCGAGAAATCCTGATGGTAACGTAACAGTGCCGTGAAGGTGTGTAGTGTGAATACGACCATTACTTTCAATTCAAAGTAAGAACATTTGACGTTTCCTTGACGGTACGGTGACGTGACAATACCGGTACGTATAGGTAGCATGAATCGCGATTAAATGCGAAATCACTGCGTGATTTTGCCTATCTGAGTATCATGAAATTTGACATTTAATTCATTATGCTATCCGTCAAATGTCACGAAAAAAATTGGAAATGCCACAATTTCGCGTTAAAAAAAAATAATATCTTGCACGAAGTATGCAACTTAAAAGACATTAGGCCTGTCTGGAAATGCTGATCAGATTAACCGGATCACCAGCTAATGTGGGTACTTTGTCTTTTTTCGATTAGGTTTATTGAAGAAAGAAAAAATACAAACACCTGGTGTTCGGGTTGATCGGATCAGCGCTTCCGGAAAGGCCTAGTATGTATTGTCTGGCTAGCCAAACGGCGAACTCCAAAAGAATTTGCTGCTTTGCCAAACTTGACGGAAACAATAATAAACAAGCTGGTGACATATTTTTTTTCGCTATATGGGCAGGTATAATATTTTGAAATAGAAAAAAATCCGGCAACATTGCGAAACGATGGATGTGGAGAGGCGTGATTATTCAGAGGCATGATTCTATTGGTTAGAGTCTGAACGACAGCACGCAGTGGCGTGGTTATCGGCGAAACTAGAGTTTTTTTTTAAATAATTTTATTGGTTTATTTCCTAGTGTTTTCGGTGCCACTGAACTCAAAGACATGGCTGTCATCAGGCGGTGTCAGTTGAGGTGTCAGTGAATATTTTTAGGTCACGCCCCACTTTTCTTCCCCCTTTCGTCTCTACCAAGTTACCACTTGCCAGACTATATTTAAGCTACTTTCGGAAATGTAAATCCTGGATCGAGTAGGAGGTTAATATCAGCTGATCGCGGTTTAGCTCGTTTTCAAAGTAGATTATTCAACGTTTCCGAACGATTGGGATCATTGGGATCGACGATCACCGGCATCCGCATTTGTTTTTCTTGTTTTTTTTTCAACGATTTGAGGTTGGGTATTCACCTTTGACTCTTTGACTTTTCAAAGACACCGCAAACCGCCCCAAAGACAACAAATCACAAGAATTCAAACAAAAAACTTGACAAAACGGAAAAAACTTATAAAATAAACATGACAAATTAAGGCTAAATTATGGACCAACTGGTAAGTATCTGGTTGTTATACCTAGCAGGTACTTTCTATTCTCTCGTGCATAGAAAGTACACTTGGCCAATCATAAAACTGGTACGTAGAAAAAGTTGATAAGCAAATTCGAATATAAAAATATAAAGTAATTAAAGTAAAAATAATCATTTTCCTATTGTGTTGTATTGTGTAAATCGACCTATTTTATCTCCACAAAAATGACAATAAGGGTCAAGCCAGTGTCATCTTTGAACTAATCACAACATAAAAACATGTTGCATTTACTTTTGTTCAGCTTTGACATTAACAAAAACTGTCTGACCCAAGTTTTTCAGAAGAGAATTCTTGTTGTTTAGCCTGACTCACACTAGGCAATAGTAGGCAATTTGAAAAGTATATATTGCCTGTGTACCTGCTAGATAACAACCAGTCAGTCAAACACATAACCAAGAAAAATCAAACAACTGATAGATTAATTTCTTAGAAGAGATTAATTTTCTACCCACGTCAAGAGCAGGGTTAATGAGATCACTAACATATGAGAAAACCGAGTCAACAAGATCACTTACCGAACGCGAGTACTCAACTTCGGACCACTTTACGAACGATGAGATTACTAATCCGATCGAACCGATCAATCCGATCACACTTTCCGGAAGCGGCATTAGAATAACCACCTACTGAAAATTATGAAACTCACCATACATATGTAAATGGCATATTGACAAAGTCGCTTTTTGACATTCAGTCAATAAAAATGACAGATGACGTGGTCAATGTAATCTAAAAGCGTTCAGTACCCACTTAAGCAACTCTGTTCAATCTGAGACCATTGAGGTAGGTTTCTCAATAGCGAGTCACCTCCGGGTTGGTTTTAACTCCAGGGTAAATGTATACAGTTGCAATGTTTACCCTGGAGTTATACTTAACCGGGGTGTGACTACTATTGAAAAACCGGTCCTAGGTGTAATAAACCGTCAACATTGTTTTTTCGATTTTCGACACTAGTCACTCTAACCGCCAGTAACGAATGCCACATTCAATTACCGGAACATAACCTAAAAGCGACTCACCTGCGTTGGTGTTAAATGTATCAACGATGCCAAATGTTCCCTTTCGGGAGCCGAAAGGTATTTTTGCTGCTTGAAACGTCTTTCCAGTTCGTAAACCTGAAAATGGAAGTGGATTTTAATGCAAAGAGTTTCGGATCACCAAAGACAAAATTATTTCAAAAAATCGCCTTGACTATTTTTAGAAAACTTTATTATATTACTTTTTTATTTAAGTCAATTAAATGCGATTAACCAGTCAGTTATATTGACAGATGAATAATGCATTTAACGTCATTAAATACCGGTTGGTTGACAAATGACGTTTGCCTTATTGGTTATCTGTCAGCTATGATCGGCCGGTTAATCGACTGTTTAGTTATTTTTACCTCAAGAGCAACGCCATTTTTCAAAAAAATTAATCCGGTTTAAAATTTTGCACTGCCTACAATACGAAAACTATAGCCGAGGTTTCGGAAATAGAATATCAAGTTAGAAACCTCAAGTTCGAGTTAATCGGAGGGTGACTCGCGACGCGTCGTTTCAACGTTTACTTTAAAACATCGCCAACATCCGTCGGTATCGAGCTCAAAAACTTTCAACTTCGAATCAATTCGTTTATTTACAAGATGACCATAACCAACCCATCACGGGGGAGTCGTTGAGATCGCCTAGGCAACCGCGAGGGGGCAATATAATTAAAGAATACAAAAAAAAAGGGGGCCGAACGTTGTATTACGAAAAAGGGGCACGTTACCTGGGCTTGCGTGAAAAGGACCCGCCTCTTGCGACGTTGCGCCAACGGGAATTGCATGGGTTTGCTGTCTGCGACGCCGGCGCACGGCCCTAGGCCCGGCATCCCTCCGTTCAAACCGTGCCCCATGTTGGCCGATGCCGCTGACGTACCCATCAATCTGGAAACTGGATAAAACAAAAATCGTTAAAATTAAAATTATTCCCTAATTGTATTTAACGGTTAAGACCTGGTTTCCTTGTAAGGTTGTTTAAAACGAGGTTTCATCATAACTTTTATGACGTCATTTGTATGCCTCAACAAAATGCAAATCTCCATAAAGCACTCCAGATGCGTCATCAACTTACCCATTATCAGACAACCTATGAACTTAAGGAACCTTGGTTTCCTCGAAACTTCAAATAGCGTTCATAATATTACGGCAAATGACGTCACAAAAAATTGTTCAAAATTTTTCATTGCAAGCGGTTTTTGAGGTAGCGGTGAGAGTCACCATAAACGTAATATAATATGACGTAAATATTTCCACCGCTATACGACGTCATTTGCCGTAAAATAAGTAGGTATATAGTTTCAGGTTCAGTTTTATTAGATAAGAAAGATACCTACAAATCTCTACCTGTCCCAACAGTCATATCGTTTTTTTTTTGTTTTTTTATTCTAAGGGCCACATTATTGAATTAGAAATAAGGATTGGAAGCTCCTACTATTACAATACAAATTATATAAACACTATTTTGGGGAAAATTTGAGTGGTCTTTTGTTGTGTTTTTGCACTACAATTTCAGTTGTACTAAAACAGTGTTTGTAGTGATAGGATCTATGACGTCATTTTAGTTTTGTGGAATCACGACATTCAGTTTGGGAACGTCGCATTGTTTAATGCCTGCTGATAAATAATAACCTCTAATTTCACAGTTTGTTTCGCTTTGTTTTTTAATTTTGGAACCATGTTTCCTTGCTAGGAATATCAGTTCCCATGAGCAACAAATATACGGGTGTTATACAACATAGGTATGTTGATCGAGCGATGGTGCGGTGCAAATAACGAATGTCGTGGTCGTCATTGTTACTCTTCAGCATTTAGACAAGGAAAGCATCAGAAATGTATGTCAGAAACATTGTGAAGGATTCTTATTGGTCGGTAAAGGAATCTACGTCATACTCTCGCGCCATTCCCTTAGGTACGTTTAAATATGTGGTAGTGGTAAGTATAAAAAGAGTATTTTTTAAAATAGGAATTATCAAAGCCAACTGGGCAATCCATTGACCTGTCAAACGAAATTCAATATGGAAGTTCAGGTCAAACACCGTGTTGTTTAGGAATAACATTAGAAAAATTACTTATTTTATCAAATTCTGGACGTTTAGGTTTGACATTGGCATTGTCATGTCTGGCATCTACAACAACAAGGACAGAACACAAATGCTTTTCTTATGAACTTCTCCACAATATTTGACCTGAACGACCATATTGAACCACGTGGTCTGGATTGTCTAACTGAAAGCAATAAGAGGTGCTTTCCAGTGACCCATTTGAGTTACTCCTGAGCAGCTCAGGAATTTTCCACAAATGCTTCGCGCGTTCCAGTGCTTAGAGTGTCATACACTTGAACTACTCATTTCTGTTATCCCCTGCCCCCTCGTGAACCAACCTTTATTTCGGCGTTTCATGCTCTTGAAGTCCAAAATGGTGGGGGTTAAGACGAGAGCGTTCCAGTGCTGCTTATGTCGAACAGTTCAAAAGCGTCACACTCCAGGAGCATGATACTCTAACAATTCAGGCACTGGAAAGCAGCTAAGGGCAACAACTGATTAAAAATAATAAAGCGATGAAATTCAAATATTATCGAGAAACTCCCCATTATAAATATTTTTGCCCATACATTTCGAAAGAACAAGTTTCTGATAAGATTCTTAAAAACATCAACCTGTATACTTTGAAGGGTTTGTTTCAATAGTAATTGATCTGGGAGCACTGAAAGCTTTACATAAGACCAATATTTCCCACAAGTCAGAAGAAACCATTACTTCAAACTCAATTATGATAGAAATATTGTAGCACAACTGAATAAGACACTTGTACAGAGGAACCGACTACTTTAGAGGTGACTACAACAGGCTCAAACAGTACAGAAGAAGTAGTGATTACTTCAGAAGCGACTGCTACAGGTTAATTCAAGCTCATGCTCAACAGAAGAATCGACTACGTTTAATGTCAACTACAATAGAAATTAATTTTAGCTTTACCAACAAATATGTCGGATGTTAACTCCAGTGAAACTGGAGAAGTAATTACCTATTACTTCAGAGACGACTACATCAGCACTGCAGAAAAAGTAGGTTTATATATTGAGTCAATTACTACAAAAGTTTATTCTAGCACAACAGAAACTGCAAGTACGTCTAAAGTGATTTCTACACTATCGGCAACTGTGGAAACAACAGCAACGACTGGCCAATGGCCTGGCGCCTGATGTATGTGGACCTCGTGGGGCTGCTTTAACAATTTACACATGAACCATTTTTGATTCAGAAGCTTCTATAGGAACAGCTAAAGTCACTAACGTTCATACGAGCTAAAGAAACAACTAAGAGAGCTTCAAATAAAAGAAATTTCTGAGATCTTTCCTACTGCCACTAGTGATATCTGATACTGAACAGAATGAATGAATCTTTATTCAGCATAGAATCTTCAAAGCAAGAACCGTAAAGCCGAATGAAACCTTTTCGTCAATGATACAACAGAACGAACATCTACAACTAACTGCTATAGAAGGTCCAATTACATTGATCAATGCATAGAACAACTGTAGTCCTCAAGGCTTCCAAAAATCTAAAAAACAAATTAAAGCTATTAGAATAGAGATAAAATGCAAACACATTTTTCTCAAACAAATAAAAACGAAATTATTTCTCAGCAAATTTATTAAGACTAAGATACTGGGGGGTCTCGAAAGTCTCTCCCGAATGACAGACAGCCATCAGACTGGAGCCCCCCGTTATTCCGTAAATACACACAGAGTTTACGAGGGCTCCACGAACGCGTTTGTTTGCCGAGCACTCGAATTCCAAAACGACAATACAGTAGCTCTGGCTGGCTCTGGGAAGGTCTCCCCATCACGGCAGGCAGGCAGGCAGCAGAGCTCGGTTCGAGTATTGGGTAAATACGAGGAATGCGTAATTACTTATCCGGTAATGACTTTTCATTGTAGCGTTGTGTGTATTAAACAAACTTTAGCGTTTCGGATTAAAATTAAATTTGTTATATGGGTTTGATGATATTTTGTTTTGATAGAGCCAAGGATTGTGTTGTCGCTATATGGGAACATAAATCGTCTTGAAGGAAATTAATTAGTAAGTAAATATAAGAGCCAATATAGAAGATGTGGTCTGTGGTCTTTATAACTTGAGAATACAAATTTAACTATCATCATTTTAGCAAGCTTATTATAGCTTGTTGTATTTATGTAGAATAATTTTTGAAAAACTATCTACAGTATCTACCACTTGTTGCAAAAATTGTTCGATCTCACAAAATCCTTTTCCGATATTTATACAAGGACCCTCGTCATTCCACGATGCACCTTTCTTTTCGATCGTTCGGACACGAACGCGAGGGTAAAAGGACATTTCCAAAATAAATATTTGCTCTATCGAACACAAAAATTTCCAATCCTATTGTCCATTTCTATTTTATTTCTTCTTGTTTGTTTTATGCGATAGTGTCAATCCTCAAGATTCAGAGGAATAGTAACTGAATTAGGTTTCTCTAGAATTTCAAACTCATTTTTCATTTATTACTAAAGTTGTCGCTAAATTAATTATTCAGCTGCTGCTCTTATATTGTTTAGAGTTATTATAAAATAATGTTGTTCTTTTACGCCATCAAGTTGCCACTTGCCACGCAAGATGGCGGATGTTACTTTAGTTCCTGGAGTGAAAAATGTTAAAAAATGTGATATTTTGCGAACGCTTCTACTGCACCGGTGTGCGATGATCCCGAACCATTGTACGTTTTTACAATAGATATATGCAGCACAAGTCTATCTGCGGTATTTACTTCATGTCGCACGTCGCATGTTGCATGTTTGATGTTTCATTGGTGTACGAGCGCACAGTGGTGGCTTTGCACGAACTTATTTGTCTCGACTGCAATGAATGTCGCTGAAGTTAGCATCAGATTCAGAAATGAAAATCATGTTTTTACAGTCGACCAAATAAGTAGTGCCACAAATAAAATAAATCAAAAAATCTATTCTAAAAGATTCTGTAACATCATCAAACTTGGTGGAAATAATACTGAGGGTGATGTACGTCACATACTGAAAAATCATATGTCCAGGGAGGGGTTGAAGGGGGTAGATTCCGCCCCAAAAATGTAAATGAGATCAGATATCGAAAATTTTGTAGCACCACCAAAGTTGGTGGAAATATTTCTTGAACAGATACGAGGGACATATCAAAAAAGCAAATGTTTATCTCGGGGTTGAAGGGGGGAAATTCGACCCCAAAGTTGACGGAAAAAAACAAACTTCCTTGAAAAATTTTGTAGCAGATTCAAAGTTGGTCCAATTATTGCTTGGATAGATACGAGTAAAATATCAAAAAAGCACATGTTTATCTCGGCGATGAAGGGGGGAAATTAAACCCCAAAGTTGACGAAAAAAATCAAACTTCCTTGAAAAATTTTGTAGCAGATTCAAAGTTGGTCCAATTATTGCTTGGATAGATACGAGTAAAATATCAAAAAAGCACATGTTTATCTCGGGGTTGAAGGGGGGAAATTCAACCCCAAAGTTGACAAAATAACCAAACTTCTTTGAAAAATTTTGTAGCAGATTCAAAGTTGGTCCAATTATTGCTTGGATAGATACGAGTAAAATATCAAAAAAGCACATGTTTATCTCGGGGATGAAGGGGGGAAATTCAACCCCAAAGTTGACGAAAAAAATCAAACTTCCTTGAAAAATTTTGTAGCAGATTCAAAGTTGGTCCAATTATTGCTTGGATAGATGCGAGTAAAATATCAAAAAAGCACATGTTTATCTCGGGGATGAAGGGGGGAAATTCAACCCCAAAGTTGACGAAAAAAATCAAACTTCCTTGAAAAATTTTGTAGCAGATTCAAAGTTGGTCCAATTATTGCTTGGATAGATACGAGTAA